ATATATAGATATAGATATATAGATATATAGATATATATATAGATATAGATATAGATATAGATATAGATATAGATATAGAGAGAGAGAGAGAGAGAGAGAGAAGTTGAAAACGGGATAATTTACTTGTTTGATTGTATTGTACTTTATTGATTAACTGTTTATGTCACACATCTTAGATCAGTCTCTGTTTCCGGCTTCTCCAATGTGAAGACCTCTCCGTTTTATATGATTTGAAACTGAATGTCTTAGTGATTTGAATTGTTGGTAAGGCAAAAAAAAGCTTTTAAAGACGTCACATTGGACTCTGGGAACACGCTCCTTTTTCTCGGTTTCTGACATTTTATCGAACAAAAGATTAAGTGTTCAATAATAAAAAAAAAAAAATTAAATTAATTGAAGAGTAAAATAATAATTAGCCGCAGCCCTGCTGTTAAAACAATTCAGCCCTCTTTGCAAAGTAACAGCCACACTGGTTACACATGTACTCCTGCAGAGCTTACATTCTGGCAGCTGCTTCATGAAGATGTCATTGACTCAACCTGAGCAATTCACCTGCAGAACAAACTGCAGGGGTCTCCTCATCTGACGTGTTCGCATGGACCGACTGTACAAACAGCGACAGTAACAACATGGTAACAGAGAGGACATCAGCGGGCCTGTTGGAGTGCGGCTGAGTGCTCGTGGTGATCTTAAATGAACCGGTTCACCTCCCATCAGCGAGCCAGATGGCCAACAAAGAGCTGCCATCAACACAAAGACACAGGACACTGGCCTTCACCGCGGGGAGACGCCCAAAATCTTTTGACAGGAAATCCTTCTTACTGGCCTATGGTTCACCGTCAGTCACATTCTGGGCCTACTAGAGCTCTGCCACAGCTTCTGTTTCGTATGATATTTGTCACAAAGTTCGTGGTTATCTGCGCCGAAGCCAGCCTCACCTGTCGAGCGCTTCTCTAAAATACTTCTTCTGCACGTCGAACTGAAAGATGGTTCTCTCGCAGTCAGTGGAGGCGTTGTCGCTGCCGCCGTGCTTCTTCAGGAAGGCGTCAAAGCCATTCTCCGCTGGGTATTTCTCACTGCCCATAAACACCACTGAACATCAGAGGAGGAAATGAAAAGTAAAGAAGAAATCAGGAGACGAGATTAATAGCCAGAAACGCACAACAGCATTTCTCTGGTAAAAAGCTCTGCATGCAAATAACACAAAACCATAAGCTAAGATTTTCAGATCTAAGAAGTCAGAATGCAGCATTAAAGGTGGACTCACTGTGCTCCAGGAAGTGGGCGAGGCCAGGCAGGTCTTCAGGGTCACTGAAGCTCCCCACACTGATGCACAGTGCAGCTGCCGCCTGGAAACACACACATTTTCAACAACACCACAGTCATCTACACGGTAACTATTTTACTAACTGATCTCTATGTCAGTGACTCAATGAATAACATCATTTAAACACCATTACTTTAGCTATTCCGCTTTACCGTTAAAAACACCTCACAAATATATTGTTTCATTTTAAAAAAGGCTCAGTAATCTTAAACAGCTGGTCACTGTAGGTCTTATCAAACAAACAAACAAACAGGAGTAAATAGTTAATTTGTTGGGGACTATTTTCAGCAGTGGATTAATCCACATTTGGTGCTCGAGTGAGTATTTGTGGCAGAAAAAATATATATATATTAATTACATTACATTGATGGAAATAATTCAAAGCCTTATCACAACCACACAGCCGTTACTTATTCTAACACAACTGACTCTTTTGATTAGTGTATCGTTACTTCACCCACCTGCTTCTCAGAGCTCCCTTTCTTCTTCTTCTTCTCCGCGTTATCCTCGTCCAGCTCATCAAAGTCGCTGTCCTGCTCTTCCTCTTCGTTCTCCTCCTCTTCCTCCTCCGACCCCTCACCAGAATCCCCTTCTTCCTCAGCCCCCCTCTCTTCCTCCTCATCCTCCTGGTCCTCTGTCTCCCCCTGGTCCCCTCCGTTTTCACCGCCTCCCTTTGCGTCCGCCCTGCTGAAGTCGGAGATGAGGAGCACTCGGAGGCCGTTACTCAGCTCAATGTATCTGCAGAGAGCGGGACAGCAACAGTCAAACACTGGAGCTCACTGTGTTTACTGTGTAAACATCACTAAAGCATTATCAACATGCCTAAGGATTTCACACAAAAAGGCCAATTCGTTTTTAAATGTTTAAGAACCGAGAAAAAAAAAAATCTACATTTGACTTCGTATTTTTACAGACAAATCAAATTGTTTACAGGATATTCAACCTTTGTTTCTTTATAATGTATTTACTACTTATTTCTTTACGGGGCAATAAAGTAATCCATGAAAATAAGACATCAGTTAACAGTATATTACAATTCATCCTCGGTATTGAGGAGGATGGTTGATGCCGTTTTGGTGGTTACACTTTTGTTTGTACACCCTCTGGCGTTTCGGAGAAGCAACAAACAGCACATTGAGTTTAAAGACTGTGTGTGCCATCTAAGGAGGCTCACCTTACGGTGCCACCCGCAAGTATAAACAAAGCTTGAGTCATACTGACTCAAAATATATGTGTCTGTGTGTTCAGAGTTATGATTCTGAGACAGAGTGTGATTTTTAAAACGCAAATTACACATTTAAGTCATATGGAGTGACGGGTAATTTTACTGCACCTCGTGTGTTAGAAGATCCCCTGTGGACTTAGAAACAAACAAAAGTTGAACTTCACCTTCAGTGTTTCTTGAGGTCTAACAAACACGATGAATGCATTTCCTTTCGCATAAAATACATTTGTAAAACAGCTGTCTTGTATTATATTACAAGGGAGATTTTGCTTACTTTTTGTTGAGGAACAGCTAAATGACGCAACATATCGCAAGCAAATGTATTCGTAGTTTGTCTTTTGAATTCACACTAAAATCACATATCTACTATTAGTGATGCACAATTCATCAAATATTAAATCGCAGTCACGGTTTTGGCATCCCACAATTAAATAAACCCAATCAACAGCAATATTTATGTCTAAAAATGAGTGCTCTGCTCTTAGAAAATGACGCTGTATTTCTAATCAAGTGCTTCCGAAACTACCAGCCAGCTACCAGGGGCGATCCAGATGTTTTGGCTTCTGTTTTGGGGAGCTGTCGTGCCGCTGCGTGCACCTTACACCAGCAGCCTTTAAAAAAAACTTTCCTGAATGTAATGGTTGCAGTTCATAACAGAAGAAACCTTATTGTTAAGTCTTATTTTGATTTAAATATTTGTCTATTAGCAGAAATCGTACAACATGAAAGTGAAAGCAGTGTTCGGCTTATTTCATTTTGGGTAAAAGGTTTAGGTTCAATTGTATTTTGCTACTAGGAGATGTACTGTCGTATTTCAATGCAAACAATGTATGTGTACATTAGCAGGTGTGTAGTACAACATGGCAGTGAAAGCAGTGCTCTGTGAGAACACAATAATATTTTGCCCCTAAAATCAATGAATAATTGTGAGAAATAGTAAAGATTATCCTTTTGGCCATAATTGTGCAGCCCTAGCTACTATCACAAAGTCATGTCTGACATTTAAACAGGACACCTTTCACTCTCCCACCTGTATTTCTTTGGGTCACTGGGTGATCTGAAGATCTCTGGGTCTCCCTGGTCTTCCACAGCGACTCCTCCACCTCCAGCCCCAGCAGCCCCCTGGGCCCTGACATCCTGTGGTGGTGGTGGTGGTGGCTCACCCTGGTCTGGGGCAGATACTTGACCTTGCGCACCGCCACTGCTCACTGACTTGTTGGTCTGAGGCATTTTGAAAGAGACCCTCTGGAGTGACAGCGCTAGACATGCAGGAGAACGCACAAGTATATAACAGCTTTAGTATTGTAGGTCATGTTGTCAACATTCTGTATTAACATTGTACATTTTCTGGAACCCCAACTGTGAGCCCGGCCTTATCACCCAACACCAGTGTGGGACATCACGAACACTGATTGGGAGCAAACCTCTGGAGCTGAAACAACCAGTCGACAAATCGAAGAGCCAATAAAAAGTAAATGATAATAGCCATTTTGATAATAGATTCATTGTTTCAGTAATTCATCACGCAAAACTACCAAACATGTTCTTGTTCTTCGAGCTTCCTCAAATGTGAGAATGTTACTTTTCTCCATTTTATATAATTGTAACACGGATATAGTTTGGACCATTTTAAGTCTAGATGATTAATACAATTAATTGGAAATAAAAATCGACGGTTTAAATGACTACTATCCAAGTAACGTTACTTGAGTACTGTTAGCTGAATATAGATACCGAGAATGTGAACTTTTCCTTTAATCAGTGATGAAAATCATTATTAGGATCCAGGGTGCGTTACAAAAATAACCTTACGTCAATATTCAGTAATCTTCGCAGGTGCACTATATATAATATTATTATAATAATAATAATAATAATAATAATAATAATATTATATATATATATATATATATCGCGTAGGTTAGTTGACAGGAAACACTAGGAAGCTAGCAAGCTAACGGTTTCTGCTAACTTCAAACATAACGTCACTCTCAATACTGCTTCTTTGAAGACAGGAAGTAATTCAGTTAGACCGTTATATCGGGTGATAAATGAGTTTATTAAGCAACAGAACGGCTTTCACTAATCCTGTTGTTGAGAAGGACACAACGCTGTTATACAGATAACGTTAATTAGTTTAGCCACACTGGCTACAACACGACTCGTTTAGTGGAGCCGTTAGCTAGCCAACTACAGCTGAACTCGTGGAAACATGACACCGCTGATTGGTCTGTTATGCTCTGACATAATGAGTCACTCACCTTTGTTTCTGTTAGCTTAATGTCGATAGAAGTTGTTGAGTTTTGGTTTCAGTACATGGATGTAACGTTATAGCTTCAGCTTTGGGTTCAGTACAGCCGCCGAAGGGTAAGGTAGCAGTTAGCCAAAACAAAGCCTGTGATTGGCTGAGAGCAAATCCATCGCAGACAAATACACACAATCTGATTGGTCGACAGCGGTAAGTTTGATTGAAAAAACTGCGTGATGGTCATGATAGTAGTTGTCATTTCAATGGCGATAGCTGTGGAAGCCCATTTCTACCAGCAAAAAAAAAAAAGAAAGTAACTAAAAAGAAAGTAAATAAATCCACCCCCACCCAAAAAAAAAAGACGCTGGCGGAAATGGGCTTCCATAGGTATCAATTGATAAAACAATTATTTTTATTTTACCTTTATCCAACCAAATTCTTATTTACAATGGCGGCCTGTGTTGTATTTAATCTCGAACCGAAAAAAAACAGAATAGCAAAATTAAGTCATCAAAAAAATGTAAATCCATTAGATTGAAATCCAGTTCATTTGTAAGAATGTAATTGTACATTGTCTAACTAATTGTAACTGTAAATTTAACACACATTAAATGCAGATTAAATAATAGTTTTTCAGCCCAGAATAGTGTCTGCAAAACTTATTTTTAAGCTGCATTTCAAGTCAGTGGAGTCGTTTGATATGAAATTCTTGTTCTCATATACAGGATGTATTCAGAGAAAAAGTTAAGTTAAAAGTTAAAGAGAGAAAAGGTTGTATAATGCATCCATGATACAATAATAAATGAGCTATCAAGGAACTTCATCACATTTATGCATAAAATCTTCTAAATCTAGTAAAGTTGACCTGCACTAGTATTGAAGCAGTCTTTATTCATTATCTTTTGTACCCAGTATTCAAGTTTTTACTTTATTATTAATCAAATACCAGTAGCAAAACTGGCAGTACAAGATGTAGCGTAACAAACTTATTCAAAACAAAAAAAGGTAAGAAAAAGTCAACAATAGCCACATAGAGACAAAGCAAATGTTATGATTTAAAGATTGTGATTTTTATTATCCTAAATTGCATCTATAATATACAAACATTCACAATATATTGTACAATCACTTTGTGCTTCTCCTACATACAGGAGTGAACTGTAAGACAACAAGTTTACACTCGCTATATAATCTGTCAATGGTATACACAGCATAAAAAATAAATTCATACTCAACACCGTTATAATTCCTAAATCTATCATTTACAAATTCACTTAAAAAATAATCATATGAAGACAATGACAATATTATTGTACGTTTCTCTTAATCAATATGAAGACACATGTGGAGTTACACACAAAAACATGCGCTGTGGTAGCTATATAACAATTTGGCAGGATCTTGGTTTTTTTTCTATCTTCAATATTTAATAATGAATGCACAATTTTTTTCTCCTCGTCTTCCTTTTTTTCTTGACGTCTTTCGTAAACACACGTACTGTATCTCAGCTGACATGACATCATCAAAATATCACATTCCCGTCAAAGATACTGTACAGAAACACAAAGAAACATTACAACTCAACACGCAATAAATACCATGATAACCATCTGCAACACAATGTTGGCTCTAAAATCACACACACACCCACACACACACACACACACACACACACACACACACACACACACACATTCATGTAGGAAACACAGCAAACACGACGGCTATGTGACTACACCTGCTAAAGGGGAAGGAGAGAACCATGTGCTCTTCACTCATCAGCTCTGCTCACATATGTGCGTGAGTATAAAACACCCTCAGTATGACGCTGGATTGTGTCGGCCAGTGCAAAAGCTGTAAGCCACCATGAAACAGGGCTGCAGCTCTTAGTGGCAGTCTGGGGTCGAGTCTCTGGCAGTCTGGAGGGGAGATGGGGGTTGTGGTCATTTTGAGTCTCTCTGTGGTGGTTATGTGTCTCTGTGGTCATTTTAAGTCACTGTAGTTGTTTTGCCTCTTTTTGTAGTCATTTTGCATCTCTTTGTAGTTGTTTTGTGTGTCTGTGAAGATGTTGGATTAAGTTCCCAACAAGAGTTTTTTTCCGGGGGGAGGTGTTCCCTTCCTGAATCAAGGGTCAACATTTGTGATTTGAGACATTGTACTTGCCTAACAGTCAGTTCTGGGCCCCCTGACCTCTTCGGCCCTGGGCCGGCACACGTTAAGCCCATTCAGTAATCCTTCCATGTTTGCAATACCCAACCTAATATGATACGTTTGTCTTACTACATACTGTACAATGATTTGTCTTTCAACTCTATCCAATAACAACACTATAACCTAAATGAACCCTGTTAGAACACCAAGAGGCACTCTCTGTCTAATTTTATGCTGTTAAAAACATTACAGAGCAGCATGACGCTTTAATGTCAGACATGTTTTTGGACCCGACCCGCTCCTCTAATGATTGTGGCTGCAGCCCTGCCTGGGAGTTGTGCATTGGTGGTGTAGCCCTAAAGCGTCTTTCAAGCGACAAACAGCACTAAGTAAGGCCAGTAACAGTTAGTTAGAGTATAGGCATATTGTATTAGAGGGAACTCACTATTACTAGCTATCTGAGAAGCAGCCTAATCTGATGTTTTTTGGCGGATGACTCGCGGGTGAACGACTGTGAACGTGAGCCGCTGTGTTGTGAGTTTCTCATTGTGCTACACTTTGAGAGGAGAGGCAGTGCTGTGCTTACCTGTGGACCCTACTGCCATCTCCGCTCAGCAGTGCTCTCTCAACAAAATCTAGTTCGGTTGTGCATCTAATTTGCCTCATCTTCAAAAGGTCTCCAGACCGCTATCGAAACGTAGACAACAATGGTTTGAAGGAACCCTTTAGTTAACCCGGTCACACCAGCATTACATAAATAACAACAGTTTATGTCAATGGAATCATCACGATCAGTGGATTTGCTCGCAAAGATCAAGTGAGTTCAAAAAAATCTTTTTTGTCAGTTTGAAATTTGGCGAGTTTTGACGCACAAATTTGCACCATTGACCAAAAGCAAGCCATCCTAACTGAGCTGAAAATTTGAAAACAAAGTAGTTATTGTAGCACAATCCTCTTTTAAACATAGCCTAACCGTCCTCTATCATACTTTAACCTGTTCCACAATAGAGAAATGGTTTGCTGCGACGGAAATACGAGTACCTCTCAAATAAAATGTACAAACTTATTGTCCCATTAGCAACCACGCTAAGTACCTTGACAAGTGGCACTTGGCAGCAACCTCGCCTGCTTGGAGAACCACTGACTAGTGCTAACATTTTTCCGCTAGCTAGCAAGTTAGTGCCCAACAATTGCTGCAAATATTCACCAAACTTCTAACTCACTCTAATTGGCGAGTACGCATAATGAACTTAGCTTTTCCACTTTCTGGTGTGACCAGGCTTTCATTTTCAACTGTTATCTCATAACCTCCTGTATTCTAGCTTGGCTCTACAACCTTTTGAAACAAGCCAAATTAAATTTTGTTCAGTGTTCACTGCCACGCTTACTCCTTCACCTACATAAGGACCAACCACGGATACTTGGGCACAGGACATAAGGGGATGAAACTGGCTATATCAATTGCAGTAGGGGTAATGATTATTGACTGCTCACAAACATGGACTGAAGCAGAGAGTGTGATGTTGCAATAGTCAATCCGATTTTTTTTTTGTTTTTCATTTTTCTCGAGAGCTATGGAGGGGGAGGCGGGGACGAGGCGACAGCGGAAGGATGAACGGACAATCAGCAGCACTTCTGAGGTAACTGGGCAGGCTTGTCGGTCAGTCTGGTGGTCTTGGTGCCGGGGGCCACAGGCACTTCCACGTCCACGCGCTCCGACATCTTCACACAGATGATGTCCACCAGGCGCTCGAAGACCTGCCGGACGTTGATGTTCTCCTTGGCGCTCGCCTCGTAATACTCAAAGCCTGCAAGATGAAACAGAAGGGTTAAACAGGTAAAAATGGATACTTGTTCATGTGAAGGCAGTGGTGACGAAGACAGGAGTTTTAGCTTGGTAGGTAGGTACTACTGCCAACTGGGAATAGTAATGTTGCAGCAGTTTACAGCTAATAAAGACAAAGATGATGATACATTTACCGCACAAGTGTGAAATGCTGTGCAGTGTAGCCATCTAGTAAGGTGGACATAGTGGAGCAGTGCTAAATGAAATGAAACTCTGCTGTAAAGTTCTAATGCAGTTATAGATCAGATCATAATAGGGTAGTGTTTCAATGATTTACTAAACCTAGACCTCTTGTCACAATGTTTTATATGAAGCCAGGGGGAGCTCTGCTAAAAGAGACCTAAGCTCTCCTGAAAGCAAAAAAAGTTTCAAATAATTTCTGGCCAACTTAAATAAAAGTAAAAAAACTTTGAGTTTTAGCATTTCAGTATGCTGCTTTCATTCACCAGGAACCTCACCCCATTCCCAAATTAAAGGAGAAAAAAAGTCACTTCAGAGCAGGAAAACATTGGTATATCGACATGGTAAGCAATATTTAATCCTAACAACAATACAACTCAACAGAAAAACACTGACTCATTTGGATATATTCATATTTTGTTATAAAACCTGTCAAAAACTGTATAAAATATTGAATATTGGTAGAACCAACAGAATCATATAAAAGATACTGGTACTGAAAAGCAGTTGAACTGATTTTGTTTGTCAGTTACTGGAGTGTTTATTGACAAAGCTGGGATAGGACATAATTAAACAATTCTAAAATGATCTAAATTAAACAATCAGAAAGGGGACAAATTACTTTTAAATTGGTGTCAACTTATACAATAGATATAATATATTTGTGACAAGGGGTCACATGTAGACATTGCTTTTAAGGGGACACATTTGGATATTAATAGTGCTATCTTTAGGCTTTTAAAGACTGTTGTCTAACTTAAGTTGGGTGTGGTTTCATCTATTTGAGCATCTCAGGGTGTGTTTGCTCTTCTTCCCACTTCACAAATATCCATTTGAAACCTGGGATACCATATGTTTGAATGTGACACTGTGAAACCACACAGTTGCAGACTAGAAAAATGTCTTCAGGCAGGCCACTTTGTGCAATACTTTTTTCACGGTAAAAAATGAAATGTCAGCACTTGCGAAACACTTTATTATCTTCACATGAATTTGCTTAAGCACACCCACATTACAAAATAAATTGGCTGACCTGGTCTGAAACATCGTCCTGAACCATGTGAAACATTTTGCTGCAGCAAACTCTTGTTTGAGTGTTTCAGCCTGCAGCATTTACATTTAATAAAGGCTTGTATCAGTGAAGAAATAGCTCCCAGCAGTGGAGATAAAACCAGTATTGTGCATTCTTATTTCAAACGCCTCTTTGGCAAGACATTTATAGTATTATTTAGGTATTCCTTAGTACACACACGCCCCAGGGAAGACAATCAGTTAAAATGGCTCATACAAGTTCAGCTCTTTCTCACAGTACATATGAATAATACCCGACCCAAATGGGTGTTGTAACATTATTTGTTTAACTTTCGTCAAATTGTCTCCATTAAAAGTATCCTGAATTAGCTATTGGCTGTTCCTGCTGGGGAGTGCCAGTCACAGTGAAACGTATCGTTTGAAAATATAAACAATAAAGCATAAGTTGTAGCTTTGTGTTGCTTGTCCAAGTAACTTATCATCAGCTGCAAACTCACCCCCTTCTCGGACATCTATCACATTCAGCTCAAAGGTCTAAAAATACAAAAGAACTCAGGGCCATCAAAACTAACACATCCCATGTCCATAACAGCACTTAGTGCAGAACCAGCCAATTACTAAACGACTCCCCAATTCTGCATCAGCACTTTACTAAAGCAAAGCACTAATACAGTATTTTAAAGTAACTGTACTTTATTCTTATTTTCCACGAGACTTTCCTCTTGGACTAATATCTTACATCTGCGGATGGATGTTATGTTTTATGGTGGAGGGTGTTACGTATCGTCATCATGTGCCTTGACTGTTATGCTGTGACTGTTTTTCCTTCTGCCATGACACCAATTCTTAACAACTATAAATTGTTTGGCAATTAAGTATTGAATCTGGAATCTCAAAAACGTATTATGTATCTCAGTGTATCTTTGTTATGTACATATCAACAGTGTTGTGTTAAAAATAAATACCAGTATGGCATTACATATTTTATACCTGGACTAACTAGTTCATTATAACAAATTTTGAGTGATAAATCTTCAATTTCAAATTTATAAACTGCACATGTGCTGTGTGAGAAAGCAGAGGTTCATGGGTATTGTAGTATCTAGAGCCAATCCACCAATTCTCACAAAAAAAAAACCATGATTTCACAGAAACATATTCAAACTGATAGTCAGAATATAAACCTATGAGACTGTTACATTACCCTGGAGACTTTCTGTGTCTCTGTGTCGAGAAAATCTTTAAACAAGAACTCAGAGTGGGAAAATACTTTCTAAACCTCTCTCTGTTAGCCATATCAGAGTCCTGTTAGAACCCTGTTATATCAAAGTATTCAGTAACACTCATGTAGCAGCATCTCACCTAACTGTTCAGCGAGGTGTTTTCCTTTCTCTGGAGGTACGATTCTCTCCTCGTCCATGTCGCACTTGTTGCCCACCATGATTACCTGGGCGTTGTCCCATGAGTACGTCTTAATCTGAGTCGCCCTGGAAGCACATTTTAAATCGTTTATTTTGAGTGTCAAACACAAAGAAGCAGCATACACACAGCTTCCGGGGCAATCTCGTACCAGTCCTGGACGGCGTTGAAGGACTCCTCATTGGTGATGTCATACATGAGGATGAAGCCCATGGCACCACGGTAGTAGGCCGTGGTGATGGTGCGATAACGCTCCTGTCCTGCCGTGTCCTGAAAATAAAAAACAAACAGTCAATCACACATCTGATTTACTCAGGAAAAAAATCTAAATTTGGGTTTGTATACTTGCCACTTGTAAGTCTCAAGCTCCACAAGTGCCCCCTACAGACCATAACAGACTGAACAAACAACATATTGATTGTTTATTCATTTCAGAGGAAAGGAAAGAGACCATCACCAGAACACATGGAAAGGTAGCACTAGAGGACAGAGAGTTTATCCTCTGAGGAGCATGATTGTGCTCAGCAAATCTAATGAAGATCTGCCCTTTAGGATTTGGTGTTTCTTGTGTACAAGTGTACAAATTGTTGCAGTTGTAGGGCAACAGAAAAAGGCCAGAGAGACAGTAAAATTGTCCTCCCCATTCCTTAAATTGGAATAATGCTTCTCCAGACTGGTAGATAAATGTGCACAGGGGTCACTCTGATGTGTTTGCAAGGCCGTTTCTTTTATTCTTGTACTGCAGACTACTGTTATCGTCTGCAGTTCAAACCCACATCCGGACAGACAGTAAATTAACCAGCGACCAATCAGTTTGCTTAAGGTGCAGGTCCACACAACAAGTGGTTGAGAGACTTGGGGGCCGTGTGTCAGCTCTTTTGCTGGTGTAATAGAAGGTTGCTGAAATGTCTAATTAAATTGCTTATAACTCAAAAGGGTCCTTGCAGGATCATACTGTCTACTTGTAAAGATTAAAAGACTTCGGGGAGTCTCAATTTCTTGATATATGCAATTACGTATATCTACAGAGCATAATTCAAGTTTTAGCCAGCGCATGCATCAGAATAGCTATCTAATGTGAAAAAAGTGTAAATGCATCCCAAACAAATTCGTCACAGATGTTGAAAAGCTGTTGAGGCATCTGTCTCACCAAGATGCATCAACTATATTATTCCCCCTGAAGTTACACTGCAGCTGCGGTGAAATTAACCATTGTTCTCCCGGTCGCATATAGAAGCAACAACAGAAAAGCAGCTCCAGCTATTTCAACACATGCGGTCATACGGACGGCACACCAAGCTGCCGTAGCGTTTGTCAGATTCCTGATCATTTTAACAACTGAATGATCCGTGTGTCCCACAGAGGCTGAATTGTTGAAACTACACTGTGCACCAGTTACTCTTATAGTGCATCACCACCTCTTTCTGGACTGGAGTTGTGCCGACCCGGATCTGCGTATAGCCCGGGAAAAGCAAGACGAGATGGTATATCAGATCTGCTACAGTAAAAAACGAAAGTGAACAAAATCACATCTGGATGTGTAAATGGAAATGTCAAAGTTATTAGGATTCATCAACTGGGGTCCATTTGCAGGAAATATCATGGAAATCTGACTGCGAACTAGCCAACCTCACTGATATTCTGTGTATGAACTGTTTGGACACTGTGTCCTGCTAACTGTGAATAGAGATAAGCCCATATCCAAACATACTAGGCTGGGGTATTATCAGTTATATTCTGGCTTTCAAAACCAGGCTGTTTGATTTTGGCTAATGGTGTTTCCATGGAGACACAAGCTATGATACATGTCTCCATCATTTGGACCGTTAAAAAGCATACATTTTAGCTGCAACACAAACACCCAATATATGAATATATAAACAGATGTCTAACAGACGTGGCAAAAAAAAAAATTCTAGATACTAATTCTGGAGCAATCATCATCCATCCAACACATACACACACACACACACACCTGTTCTCACCTCTCAATAACACAGAGCAAGTGTTGAAGGTTCACACTGACGCATACAGAAGCTCAATCTACACTTTACCACCTCTCACCCCGTCATCAGTTTGTCGTCCGTTCATTTGTCGACTCTACAGCTCACTGACTGTGCTTCTTCTGCTACACTCTGAAAGAAACTAAAACGTTCCAACCAACATCTGCAGTCTGCATTCACTCCTTTGCTTGTCTGTATATGGTGCATATACCATCGATATGTTCATAGCTGCAGATATAAACTGCTGGTGCCGCTGTCACTTTTACACCAAAACATTGCAGAAAAATTTATAATATTGTGAGACAGAAATTTACAACAACAAAGATTTCATCTTTTAAGGCGATGAAAGCCAGGTGGATAACCAGCATTGATTTTACAAAGAGACCAGGGTTGTGACCTTGCGTGTATTTAATTGGCCAACCCAGAGTCTTGATGGATGGCATCGCACTGCGGTCCAAGAAAACTGGAGCCAGGTTCAACTTTTTTTGCTGCACAACCCTAAGGTTTTGAGGTCTAGGTGGGGGTGTTAACGGAAATAAGGAAAGGGACCGAAAAGTACGAAGCCTCCATAAGATTCCTCTAAAATTCCTTGTATGTGTGTACATACTTGGACAATGAAGCTGATTCAATGCATTTTGCAATCCCTGATCCAAGGAGAAAGACTGATCTGTATTATTATGTAAGTTCCTGCACCCTCAGCTGTGGATGCTCCGGCTAAAGTCTATCATTAGAGCTAGCATTGTGGTACTGTGGTGTTTTGGTATCACATCTTATAAAAACACAGCAGGTTTGAATCCCGATGATGCTTCCTTGTCTTTTGTTAACAGGAGCAGTAAAGAAGAGTCACAGTACAGCTACCGCAGCTATATCTATAGCTTCAACCACAAATGCAGCCATAGCCCGATCAATAACCACATCCACAGTCACAGCTTTAACCAGCACAGCCAGGCAGAGCAACCGCAACGGTCGGGATTCAGCCTTCTGAAAGAAGTGACGAGAAATAAATGCATCATGTAAAGTGTCACATCATCTCTGCTTTCTGTAGATCCTGCAGAGTGTTTTCCAAAACTGACTGAGTGTATTACCAACACACTAACTGCCTCTATTGATCAGGGAGAATGCAAAACTTAATGTGAGGGAACGTAGAACAAAGATTGTGAGGGACATACCCCCAGAGGTCATTGAGGGGTGTGCAGCACCAGAACAGCAACATAAAGTTTCTTCTCTCAGAATGCTAAAATTAATGGGTTTCTACCACTGTATTGGGCACAAAGATTATAATACTAAGTAATATCTACACAAGATAAAACACTGATTCATTGTTTAGCCTTAAGAGAACAGCTTGAACTTGTCAGGGAAATTTGGTATTTTCAATGACGACATAATTAATACAATATTATCTTTTTGTTAAGATAAAAAAACAATCATGCTCAATCTAATGACACTACATGTACTCGTTTATTCCTGTTCTCAATGGGGAAGAACGGGTATCAGATGTTAGCAATATGTTAACATCTATAGTTGAAGATGCGTAAAGAAAAATCTAAATGCTGAAAATCCGGTGGTTTGAAATGTACTTAATGATAAATTTAAAACAGCCAGTCAGCCAGCCAGCCAGTCAGTTACGAAGACTGTCTCTATCTGAGTGTGAACATCTCACAGGAGCCAAACATCTTCTTCCCCTCTTAACACTCTTAACCGTTGTTATTTGAAGCGCCAAATCGATCAATCCGCGGCCGCCAGCGCCGATCACTGCAACAAATCAGCTGAGCCTCGATGTGACTTTCACGCCTGTCCACAACAACTCCCACTTCGTTCAGCCACCGCCATCCTCCACCATTTCATCCTCATACCACTACAGCTGGTCTGGGTGCAGTCATTCTGCTAAATTTAGCTCTTTTGTGCTTCACTTCCTATGCGCTTATTCAGCAATCTCTGGTTTTCTCTTTCTTTCGCTTCTTGTGGGATATGGCGACTGCTTATTTGCATTTAATTAATTCAAATGTTATGCAGAGCGTGATTATGTGTGTGTGTGTGTGTGTAGTGGCAACATTAATCATAAGAAGGGTGTTAAGCATAGCCTCAGGCAGTGACTGATTCCTCTCAGTTTAGTTGAAAGCGGAGAGAAATGTGTGTTTGAGTTGCACAGAGGAAGAATGTGAACAGCTGAACACTGCGAAACCACGTGCATTAATGTGCTGCTCGAACGGCGTCTCCAATCTTCTGGTTCCAGTCTTTCCAGCAGATGTTGAACTTGGTTCGAGGGATTTTCTCCCATCAGACACAGAGTATGATTCATCCAGTAACATCCAAGGAGTTCATTATTCTAACAGAATAAAACAAAGATTTGGTTTTTTTTATAAACATTTTTGTCAACATGATAGCATGCCTACGGAAAAAACTAATGGCAAATCAGTATTCACTTTAGTCAAAATCCTGCTGTTTGTTGCACTGTATTGTTTATGCGTGTGCATGTTGTGTGTGTTGTGTCTTTTTTTACTCATCACTGATGCTTTCAGTTTGAATCAATCGGCTCTGATTAGCTCTACTTATGGGACTCTCCTCCCCCCCCTCCCCTCCCACACGCACGCACGCACGCACGCACGCACGCACGCACGCACGCACGCACGCACGCACACGCACACACACACACACACACACACACACACACCTCTCTCCACCCATCTCTGTCCCCCCTCCCTTCCTCCCCCTTCCTCCAGGCTCCTCTGTCCCCTGCCAGGTCTCAACCTCTTCACCCCAAGAGGTCTCTTTAATTGCCATTGACGACAACACTGTTAGTGTGTGACTATGTGTGTGTGCGCGTGTGTGTGTGTGTGTGTGTCAGTGAGAGAGTGAGTGAGCATGAAGAGCTGCTGCCATGGCAACAACATCACACCGATGATACAAGCTGAAGAGAACCAGAAGTCTGTGTATCTGTCTTCTTTTTTTTTTTTTATCCTCCTCCCAGCAGCTTGTTGTTGAGAGCAGAACACCATGTTACACTGCATCACTCTGTGTTACAGTAATGTTGCTCTATGCTACGGTTTAATATATCATGACGTTACTGTATGTTACAATAAATTATATCATATCTTACTGTATGTTACAGTGTATTATATGATATGTTACATGTTATATCAATCTATCTATGCATCTATCTGTCTATCTATGATCTAGACAGACACACAGACAGAGGGATAGATTAGGATACAAACATAAATCCATCCACTCTCACCCAGATCTGCAGCTTGATCCTCTTGTCGTTGCGATACACCGTCTTCACCTTGAAGTCGATGCCCACGGTGCTGACGAAAGAGTTGCTGAAGGAGTCATCAGCGTAGCGGAACAGGAAGGAGGTTTTCCCAACGCTGCTGTTCCCGATGATCAGGAGCTTGAACATATAGTCAAAGTTCTGGTCGGAGCCATCCCGCTGCCCGAAACGCTGGTCTGCCTTCGCCATCTGGAGGTTTTGGTTTGAGGAGAGAGAGATAAAACACAATCAGCATCAGGAAAATCAGACATTATTTAGACTGTTATGTATTTTAGGATCCTAAAATACAGGAAAATAAATATTTACACAGAAACAAAACTGTTTCACCAAAAATGACGATATTTTAGCGCTCCCCCTTAATTTATCAAATGAGGCTTGCTGGGGAGCTCATGTTTCTTTCTGGGGATAGACTGTTTTTGGTCTTATGGAAGGCGTGGTAAGTGTTAAATCCTGGATAATCAAAATGCAAGAAATAGCAGCGGCCCTGTATTTATTCATTCAAAACTTTTTTGTATCAACACCTCTCTATGTGAAGCATCACCGAGGATGACAATGACCTACTTTAATCCCAAAACGTTAACAACAATGATGGCTTATGCCACACAGAGTAAAAACCCATTTAACATGAGAAAATGACATTTCTCTTTTTTCTTTGCAAGTGAAATAAATTATTCACGCGATAAACAAACGCACTGTATTGCATCCATGGCAGGTGACAACATAACAAAAGCATATTTCAGTTGTGGAAATAAAATGTGCTGAATACAACAAACAAAACCCGTGCTTTGATGACAACCTGGGTTTTTAATGACGCTCGTGTCGAAGGCAGTTAACTGTTGAACATCTTTTAATTGCTCATTTCAGATTAAATCTTCCTCAGAGAAAAACAACCCGACCTCTAGCTGTGACGAAACCTGTTGAATGAGCCGAAAACTGCACAAAGCTGCTCCTCTGCCAAATGTGATTCAAGCAACTTGAATGAGCAAGAAAAAAATAAAAAAAACATGTCGAACAAAGACACAGTGCAAACATACATTTCCTGTTAGACTTCACCTGTCAAGTCCAATGAAAAGCCTGTGGGGTCGACCTTGCAGACAGGTAGAGGTCGGTGATAAGGACTGAATGAATGTGAGCAGCAGATGAGTCAGAGCTGAAGATCCTGCTGGGTCTAATCTAGCATTGATGGCTGTGTCAGTGGAGACTCATTCTCTCCATTAGCAACCGGTGGAGGAAAAAAAAGTACAACAAGATCCATCTGAAAGGATGATTCTAGTTGCGGATGAAGGCTTATTATCTCTGGATAGTTCATGAGACCAGTCATGTGATTCATTTGATGGGAAATAACTGACTTTCTGCAGCATGTCAAGAGTGATTTTGGAATTTTTTTTGGATTCACTACTGTAGCATCTGTCACTCCAGTACTTCTGCTTTCTATTCAAGACTTGTCATGTTATCAATGGTTTATGAGATTGAGTCCCAATCTCTTTTTTTATTTAATATATTTTAGGATTTTAATGTTACAGTGAGAAACTTTTACTGGTTAGGAAACAGTCTCAATTTATTAACTACATAAGTAAACGAAACCATCAGCGAGGCGATTTACTATTTCTATATCGTTATTCTTAATACTTGTCAGCGGTGCCACTGGGAAAAATACCATACGAAATAATGCAGGTTCACCAGAAACTCCTTCAGCTCAGAGTCCAGCGGGACCAGCCCACCACAGAACAGACCCAGATCTGGCTTTGTGGTTCTATTTCTTTTGTTTGCCTTATTTTTTCTGCACTGAGTAATTTCACTTTTAATACTTTAAGTAAATGATCCTGGTTGTATTTGAATTATTTCACTTAAAAGGTGTGTATCTAGTTCCGCTCGATGGCCTTCAACATGCCGACGGCTGAACCGGCAGCTAGCAGCTAACGGTGCTAAAAGCGTGGGTGCTACGCTTCCACAACGACATTGTGCGCCAGGACGGCGTTATAACCGCAGTATGAGCGCAGTGCAGAGCAGCGGGCATTAGCTAACCCATGGGGCACGCTCACATGCACTAAAAACATGGCTCGGCTATGTAAAAAAAAAGCACAATGAAGCTCAGAAAACTGCATACACAATGCAGGAATTGTTCTTGTGGCAGTATTTTTTACAAGTAAAGGATCTGAATACCTCCTCCACCACTGCACATCATAGGCCTTCAATAGCAAAATGAAATACATATACATAGTGATAGAGGGTACATAATCACACCAACAGTCCACCACCCTTGAGGTACTTTAGTACAAGGATCCAAATTCTGACAAAAAAATCTAAGCCTTTACCTTTCAAAGTATAAAACAATCATTAACAACCATCAAGTGAAATGACCTGAGTTTAACTTGGTTTGCAAGGTAACACACTCTCAAGGGCTTCAGAGAAACATTAAAATACACACTTCCATTATGTAAACAGTATTCAAAGAGTTGTGATGACCCGTCTGCCTTATTAATATAGAGGCAACTATATTCAAGTTGCTCAAAATCCATTTCTGATTAAATAATTCAACTCAAGTTTGAAATATCTCAACAGAAGCATTGGCCTACGTTTTTGTGTGGACATTCGTGTTCCCCAGATAAAGAATCAGATGAAGATGTTTATGTGTCTATAAACAAAACTGCAAAACTAATCCAATCCCATCAGCCGCAGCTGTACCTTGTGTTTACTGCCAAATCAAGCGTACGCTGGTGAACATGGTAAACATTATAGCTGCTAAAGCATGTTAGTATTTAACTCAAAGTATCACTGTGTCCCAGTACAGCCTCAGCTGCTGAACATGATCCTCAGCACCAGTACAAAAACTCCCCATAAAAATCACAATAAGGCCACTATGGACACAAATACCCTATTTATGCATACAACCTATAACACCACAACCCTATACAGGATTAACATACGAAAGGATCAACGAAGATAAAACGCAACATATCAACAAAGCATCATACAGGAACACTATGTGAGCAACCTAATATAAAGATATACAATATTATATACTATAAAGCTATTTTGAGCTTAACATTTTACATTTCATTGTAAAATCACACAGTGCAATAGGGCCACTATGCATTCCTATAGGGGGATGCAATAATATAGACATATATTCAACAGATTAAGACATCATCATGAGCCAATAGAGGCTAAACTCCCTATAGAGAGCCACAGACACCCTGCACCTGTGAGATTATTATGGGATATCATAGGAACATGGTGTTTTATTGTGTATCAATATTCTACATTATGATCGATATTTAGCACCATTGGATCACCGTGGGTGCCTTTTAGTGTATGATAAGGGTTATTATAGGAGGTTAGATTGTTTATACCACTATAAAATGAAACAAAACCCGTCATTTATAGGACGATTATAGCCAACGTAGAAATAATGGAGCTCGATTGATCGACGTTTCTGGATTCGTATCAGTCATCAGGCCTGTGTATCTGTCTGAGAGAGAGAGAGAGAGAGAGAGAGAGAGAGAGAGAGAGAGAGTGTGTGTGTGTGTGTGTTCATAAAACTGGTGTTAAACGGTGTTGTGTCACCGCCGGTCATCCGTGTTTTTTGACTGTCTCTTACCTCTGCAAGGCGGATCTGATGATTTCTCTCTTTCTCTCTCTTTGCTCTGCACCTGATGAAGGCAGCTCGCTCCCCCAAAAATAACAATAAAAACAACAAATGTATCCTAAAAAGCAACAACAACGGCGCGTCCTATCCAATCCACCGACCGTCTGTGCAGGAAATCAGGAACACTGGCTGCGTCGTTTGCAATCAGCAGAGTGGAATTTTTTTTCCCCACCAGAAATGAGGTGAAATTGCCTGTAAAACGTCTCCTTTCCGCGGTGCCGCACGCAGCTTCTTTTACGCACGGCTCTACGCTGACATCCTGCGTTAATTCGAGGTGGAGCAAAGCGATGTGGGAATGTTTGCAAAGGCGTCTGCTGCCTGTCACCTCCCCCCCCTAAAAATAACCGGCTTCTATGTGAATGAAATTTCTTTTTCTCTCTCTTCAGGCTGTTTACTGGCAACTCCTCCGCCCTATCACGCGGCAGATCTGTGCAGACGCGCTAACGGCAGGAGCGGAAGTTATTTGCATGCTATGACTCATAACTGAAGCAGTGAGGCGTGTAATTGCTTCAGCATCAATGAACAGAGACATCGGACTGTAAAAAAAAAAGGAGCAGAATTCTGCCCTTTGTGTGCTACCCCCACAAACATTCAGGTGTGTTTGTGCTCTGTGCACTACGGTGTCATTCCACAGTCAACACACCTGTGAGGCTCCATTCGGACATTTTATTGTTGCAGCATCACACCACTGCAGGGGGTGATGTGGTTACTAAAGCTGAAACCGAACCATTCAATTATTAGTGGAGACACAATTAGTCGATGACAGCTTTAATAATCAATTAACTGTCATTATTCAGGTGGAAGTATGGAGTGTGTACTGAATTAAATGGTATTATGCAGTGCTGGAGTGTAACTATATATTTACTCAAGAACAGTACTTACAAATTGAGGTACTTGTACTTGAGTATTTTAATCTCATGCCACTTCGTACTTACATCTCAGTAGGAGGTATTGTACTACTTACTGCACCACATTAATCTGACCGGATTCATCTATAATGGAAAACAATCAGTTAATAACCAATTAAAAAAACACCTGCGTTTCATTTATCATATCGTCCTAACATGTCTCAGTCACCACCAGAAGGTGGCACTGTGACTCTAAACTTGTGCCCCAACAGACTCCATGCCGTCAATCAACAATTCAATCATACTCATACAAACGGGGGTGGCTAGCATTGTCACTATATAGGAAGAGGGACCCAATGGGGTCCAATCGGCTTGTTTGCTATTATTAGCTCGTCTTGTTAAGTGGCTCTGTGTCGAAATAGTAGGCCAAACTGTAGTTTACATTGTATTCACTCATATTCCCAAATCAGAATCAGAACCGACAAGGTATGTTGCACATTTTGACATGGTGGGTGGTGCATAACACTAAACAATCAACACAGTGCAAAACATAGAAACATATTAAGATGTACAGTAAAATATAGTGTACAAACAAACGTGCACAAAAGATAACAGCACTATAAACAAGTATAATGTAAGTGTAATGTAAAAGTGGCAAGTGTATTTAAAGTAAGGTTTGAATACAGGATGTTTAGCCTGCCAGTAATGGAGTCTTTTCAGTGTGGCTATTAGTAGACTACTTTTACTTAAACAACGAGTCTGATTATGACTATAATTTATTCCACAGCGGAACTGGACCTGAATACTTTTGTTTCATCACTCGTTACATTTGTTTCATCATAAGTTACGTTTGAAAAGTGGGCGTAAACGAATGGCCAATTGGCGGAGATGAACACGTGATGTCGATATAACTACCGCATTTACTGGAATCATTGTTCAGAAACGCAGTTCTCAGACGATAACACATACTGAACATCCGATCCACCAATATAAATCTAAAGATGGCTTTTGGGATGTTTTGGAAATTCTTCATCGCGATCGGTAAGTTTATTGTCTCTTAACACATTCAGATTTTAAAACTATAGAGCAGAAATCAAACTCATGGACGCATGCGCTGCACTAGTCGGCTGATGATTGTGCCGGTGAAATGTAAAGCCGAAATAAAACCATTAAACAAAACGACATGATAATGATACGAAAGAGACATGTGGCGTTTCTCCACACAAATCTAAATAACGGTTAGGTAAAGTTAGAAAGATATTGACAGATTCGGAATTCCCGGTTCAATAAATCGTTAACGAAACGTTGCTAAAATACAAACGATACCTCCCTGTAACCGTAGTGAGGTAGACAACAAGCTACAACCTTAATTGAATTAAAACGGGCCGTCTTACGGACTCCTCCGAGCTGGACAATCTGCATTGGTCTCAATGAGCGGCCGGCTGCGAGAGAGTGCGCAGGGACCGTCTACAAAGTGCAATGCGGAAAATACCTACTACAACAATATTCAATAGCTTCACTGTCATGCAATGTAGTGTAACCAAAATCACTTCACACATCAATGGGCTCCTCCTTGTTGTACTACAACTGCTATTTTGAAAAAATATGATTTAGATTCATTTTAGTGAATATTTATTGAAAATAATAATCAATAGCTTTACTGTTGATAAGTGTAGCATGACCAAAATCACTTCACACATCAATGGGCTCATCTTTGTTGTACTACAAGTGTTATTTTGAAAAAATATGACTAATTTTAGTGCATTTTTTTGGAAATAATATTCAATAACTTTACTGTTATAGTGTAGTGTGACCAAAATCACTTTTGACAGGTGCTGTCAAATTCTCTTTCTGGTGACGATTCCAAGTGACATTAAAGTATCAGTGATTTAGTCAAACCAGTGTCCATTAGAGAACTACAAACATACAGTTAATTTAAAGCTCAATTAAAGAAATGGTTAGTTAGTACCCAACTCTGTCAGCACTAGAATGTAACTGCTTCTCTGTCCGTGTTGAACTTTCCCTCGTCCGTCTGTCTGTCTGTCTTGAAATTGCCGGTCGACCCTCATCTACCTGCATGCTTGTCTTTTATTGTTGTTTAGCTGTCTGACTGATTTATGTATTTCACATACTCTGCATGCTTTTATGTTTTGTGCCTCTGACATGGATGTTTTTTAGTGTCTAAAAACTGCAGCATAATATTCTCTTTAACATACAGGTGCATCTCAATGAATTAGAATATCATCGAAAAGTTAATTTATTTCAGTAATTCAATTCAAAAAGTGAAACCCATATATTATATAGATTTATTACACACAGGGTGATATATTTCATGCGTTTATTTCTTTTCATTTTGATGATTATGGCTTACAGCTAATGAAAACCCCAAATTCAGTCTCTCACAAAATTAGAATATTACATAAGACCAATTTAAAAAAAGGATTTTTAATACAGAAATCTTGGTCTACTGAAAAGTATGTCCATATACAGTATGCACTCAACACTTGGTCGGGGCTCCTTTTACATGAATTACTGCATCGGTGAGCCTGTGGCCCTGCTGAGGTGTTATGGAAGCCCAGGTTGCTTTGATAGGGGCCTTCAGCTCGTCTGCATTGTTGGGTCTGATGTCTCTCATCTTCCTCTTGACAATACCCCATAGACTCTCTCTGGGGTTTAGGACAGGCGAGTTTGCTGGCCAATCAAGCACAGTGATACCGTGGTCATTAAACCAGGTATTGGTACTTTTGGCAGTGTGGGCAGGTGCCAAGTCCTGCTGGAAAAGGAAATCAGCATCTCCATAAAGCTCGTCAGTAGAGGGAAGCATGAAGTGCTCTAAAATTTCCTGGTAGAAGGCTGCGCTGACTTTGGACTTGATAAAACACAGTGGACCAACACCTGCAGATGACATGGCTCCCCAAATCATCACTGACTGTGGAAACGTCACACTGGACCTCAAGCAACTTGGATTGTGTGCCTCTCCACTCTGCCTCCAGACTCTGGACCTTCATTTCCAAATGAAATGCAAAATTTACTTTCATCTGAAAAGAGGACTTTGGACCACTGAGCAACAGTCCTTTTTCTCCTTAGTCCAGGTAACTTAGCCCAGGTAAAACGCTTCTGACGTTGTCTCTGGTTCAGGAGTGGCTTGACACAAGGAATGCGACAGTTGTAGCCCGAGTCCCGATACCTCTGTGTGTGGTGGCTCTTGAAGCATTGACTCCAGCCGCAGTCCACTCCTTGTGAATCTCCCCCAAATTCTTGAATGACCTAAACCCCAGAGAGAGTCTATGGGGTATTGTCAAGAGGAAGATGAGAGACATCAGACCCAACAATGCAGACGAGCTGAAGGCCCCTATCAAAGCAACCTGGGCTTCCATAACACCTCAGCAGGGCCACAGGCTCATCGCCACCGTGCCACGGCGCATTGATGCAGTAATTCATGTAAAAGGAGCCCCGACCAAGTGTGACATACTTTTCAGTAGACCAACATTTCTGTATTAAAAATCCTTTTTTTAAATTGGTCTTATGTAATATTCTAATTTTGTGAGAGACTGAATTTGGGGTTTTCATTAGCTGTAAGCCATAATCATCAAAATGAAAAGAAATAAATTGATATTTGATAGGTTGATATTTTCCTGATCTGATTCCTGGAAATGGCTCCTTTTTAAATATTCCCGTAAGAGGAGCGGCTGGTAGTTTTGGGGCTTTCCGCCTGCAGGACCAGATCGTAGAAGTAAGTAAGTCAGTGACAGTCCTGCGCTGCCATTCAATTGGCATTTCGTCACAATATCTCGCTTCCTTTCAGTTGAGACTGTAAGTAGGCATAGCAGACCTCATCAGAATAAACATCAAATAGGCTAGGTCTGAGGTTTAGAGCTGTGGGAGGTGAACACACAGCACATGGCACACATTTCAGCCAACATCCTACACGAAAATATGAATATTTTATACACTTAATATAATGTATTACTTATGTTGTGGGGACACAACCCTGTTTACACAGTCACATTGTTGGGACTGGCCTTCCTTTTGGAGACAACATGCATGTCCTTATAAGGTCTACTGTATATCATTACATAACAGGGTGAAGACTGGTTTAAGGTTAAAGTAAAGCTTGGTTTGGGTAACGGTGGGGGTTGATCAAGAAGCTGTTATGGTTAGGGCCTGTGGTTCTCAGGTTTAAGTTATAGATAAACAAACTGATGGTGACAAAGTAAAAGAGTAAACGTGCCCCGCCTCAACAGATTATCTCCGCCACGCGTAAACCTGGGGAAAGTGTATGCGTTCCATTGTGTGCGCCTCTGTGTTTGTTCCCATGGCGAATCTCGCAGTCTGCTGCACCCAGCTGCAGCCAGCTGCATAATAAATTGGGTGGCAAGTTAAGGCTGCATGCTCTCCTGGTTGGGGTGTGTATTATATGACGACTTTGAGCCCATTGCTTGTATAATGTTACGTCTCTGGTTGTTTTTGAGTTTGAATGAAGTCTGTTTGAGTCTTTACAGCACTGGTTGTATTCATTCAATCACACAATACAGCAATGCTCGTTGCAGACACACATTGGTGGAGATTTGTACTCTATGGTTCACAGCAGCATATTTTAAATTGACTGAGTTTCAAGTGTCACTCTTTATAATCAATCCGAGTCAGACGTTAGAGTCTTTCCCTCAGAGCTGCGGTGAAAGTTAGGTT